CTTATAGGAGAGAAAGGAGACTACTAAATATAGTTATACCGCTTAAAGAGTAGCTATAAATAAGACTTTGGCCCTTCTTACAGACACTACGAATAGATAAAAGTTAGTAGCACTTAGGCGTATTAGGAAGCTGTCCCTTCCGGAACTAGATTTAACCTTTACTGAGGATATAATCTATCTACCTTATACGAAGAGAGTGTTTAAATTATTCGATATACGTAGTGCTAGTAAGGACTATATAGCACTAGCGGTACGAATTAATTTTATTTACTGATATACTAAGGACTAAGATATTATAATAAAGGAGAACCGGATATAGTTTCTATTAGATACCGATAAGTTATAGTTAGATTTCTACCGCTTTAAGTATTAGGCTAATCCTCCTATTATCGCCGACTATCGTAAGATAACCTAGTTATCCTTCGAAAGCCTCTATTATAGGGTATCTCCTACTCCCGACCTTACGACGCCTATACCTATTACGTTAAAGTTATAAATATAAGAGCGAGGGAGTATAGTTATTCTATAGTTATTTAGCTAGTTAAAGGAGGACTTCGATAGGTATTACCTAGGTGGCCTTCTTACTCTCGTATATAAGGAGATAGATATATATAACTATCACTATTTACCTTATATAGGTAAGCCTCGCCTTAGGTAGTTAAGGAATATATAGTACGGTATTATTTAATAGCTTATCCGTTAGGATCTAGCATACTATATATACTATATTTCTTCTGGCCAGACCACGCTTACCGACTAATCTCCTTCCTATATTACGTAAAGAGTACTATACCTAAGGAACAGACTTATTTTAGGTATATTAATATAAATCTAAATAACTTAGTGCAAACTAAATAAGGCAGCGTAATCCTATAGGGCAGTCTAATATTAGATAATAAAGATAAATAGAACTATACTAAGATTCTGCCTAGTATATATCGCTATATTTAGAAGTAGTAGGCTCTTATACGGGATAGGACGAACACTACGGATAGCTTCGTGCAGAAGATTAATAATTAGCTTTAGACCCCAGAAGATACTAAGCGATATAGTACTAACTAAGTGAAAGAGATCTATATAGCTAGTGATATCCGAGTTAGTTTACTTAGTATCCCCTATAGGTTAATAGGCGCCATAACTAAGAGGCAGAGAAATATTTTACTATAGTTTATATATATTAGAGATAATTACTTAACTCTAGATATTCCAGAGTCCGGTATATAAAAAGAAGTATCTACGGTATACCGAGACCTCACGTAAGCTCTAAGAACTCTATTAGGGCTTACGAGCAGTATATATAGCTATTTGCAGTATATATTCCCTATAGCGCCACGATTCCGCGGGGAAGGTTTAATCTCTAAATACTTAGTTAGTCGTAGCCGCTAGACAGACCCTAATATATTAGCTAAGTTAGATATCCTCTTCGGACCGGATAAAGCTATAATAACCGCCTATATTATTTTATAGAGGAAGAAGGCGCAGCTAATATATATCTAATTATTTAGAGATATAACTAAGGCGGAGAAGCTAGTATTCGGGAAAGATTCCTTCTTCCACCGTAAGGTATTAAGGCTATATATTAGTCCCCCCTAATCCAGAAGTTACACCTCCGGAGGATAATAATAATAAGGAAGAGATATAATATCCGCGGCGATAGGGAATAGGTATTCTAGTCCTATCTTTCTTTACTTTTATTAAAGTGGCTTAGGCATTCTAAATTGACTGCGCTTAACCACGGGACGGTTAATTTTATAGGGAGGGGTGGTATATAGTGGGAGAACTGGTGATATAATAAGCCTATATATGGCCTTAGGCATAATTTAATATCTGCAGTGCATAGTATATCTCCAGACACACTTAGAGAGAGATAAGTTATCTACCTAATTCATTCAGGATTCACCCAATTTCTTCTATTTATGATACAGTATTAAGATTATCCAGCAAGGCCGCAACAGGGCATCAGCACGGCCTCGTCCAGCGTCCTCTACACCAGACAGGCAGTGTGTGTGTGTGTGTGTTGTCCAGTCTGCATCGCCAGACAGCCATCGAGCCGTTCCCATTTCAGTAACTATAACATCTTTTATATTAACTAATCTCTAGCTTTATATATATTTCTTTTATATCTGATTTATCCGTAATTAGTGCATCGCGGTGGACGCCGCGTCTTTAGTGCCTATATATCCCACGGTAGTAAGCTTAGTAAAGCTAGTATTACCTATAAGGGCTCCTTATAAGTTTTCTTAAGCTATAATATCTCTTATACGGATGGACTATTATTATAGGCTATCTATTTAGTTATATAAGTACGCTCTTGCCTTTAAGTAGCGTTTACGGTACGTAGCTACTTATTTTCTTACTTAAAGAGGATACTATTTTATATTATAATCTAATAGCCTTTAATAAGCTAGTTTAATATAGTTTATAAAGGTAAAGACAGACTTTTTAAGCGTCGCTTTAAGAGCGCTTAATTAAAAATACTTACTTTAAAAGCTTATCGATATTCGCGGGTATATAAGGGTAGAAAGTGCTTAATTAATTATTATAGCTTATAAGAGATGTTAGTGTCCGAAGTTAAATATTTAGTTTTAATAATATTTATTGAGGATTAATTAATGTTAATCCTATTACTTAAAAGCTATTTTATATTATACTTATTTTATATATATCGATATAAGCTTATAAATAAAATTTTATTAATATAACTAATCCTAAGCTATATCTTTTAGTTAGTTAAATTACTATATAATCGCTTTAAAATAATAAAATATCTAATATTAAGAGGCTAAAGTAAATATAAGGAATATAGCGATAAATAGATTAGGATAATCTTATAATCTATATAAATTTAATTAAACTCTAATATTAAATAACTTTTATATTTATTAAGGACTAGAAATTAATATCTTTTATATATATAATAATTTATAAATAGAATAAATTATTTTTAAAGTTAGCGAAGACCTATCTTATTAGTTATTTATCTATTTATATTGACTTCGAAGCGCTAGTTAGATAAAAGGTCTTTAAATTATACTTAATTATATTATTTATTTTTAAAGATAAGTCTTAGCGGAAGCGCTTATCCTAAGGCGTTAACTAACTTAATTATAGTTATTTACTTATAGTTTCTTAGCTATAAAATTAATCTCTAGCTATAATATTCTAATTAAATAATTATCTTTTAGGCTATATAGAGGCCTATTACGAAGCTAGTCTTATTAAAGTTATAGATATTATTTAGTAGGATATTATATTACTAAATTATAGCTTATATAAGATTAAACTATATATAAACAATCTTTAGATCCTCTTATTTTACTTATTAATAATTATATTATTAAGAAAAGTAAGCTTTAAGCTCTAAATAATATTAAGTAAAGTTATATATCTATTTTACGCTAATAGTCTAAATAAGTGTAGGACCGCGCTTTATAAGTAAAATATTTACTATTTCTTATATATAAGCTTATATAAGGGCTATATCACATAAATCTAATAATAATATCTATTATTAAAGTATATTCTCTTCGATTTAGGTTATTTTATAACTATCTACGTGAGATTTAGCGTATTTTATAGTACTACGAAGCTAACGCGTAAGCGTATAATAATTAACTTAAAATCAATCTGTAGCCTTCCGAATAGTGCTAATTTCTTTATTTTTAATAGCCTATATAGTAAGTAAGAGGCGACCTTCTTATTCGATATAATCTTAGCTTGATCTGACATATTTTGGAGGCATAGTGATTAATAGAAGATAGATTATTGTGGGTAGACGCGAAAAAGTGGTTGGGTGGCTCACTCGCTTACCGACCACGTTATAAATTTGTTGCCATATAGATTAGATAATAGAAGAGTTTTTAACAGTATTAATAATTCAACCGCCTTCCCCTTCTAAGAGTTATAAGCCCGGTTCGTATAATATAAGCTTTATATATCGAATATCAAGCCTATCCACTTACAATAAGTATTGAATTATCTTCCCCGAGATACTACATTAGCGTTAAGTAAGCTAAAACTACAGAGATAGCCTCCGCACTCTCTACCTATATGGGTAAAAAGTTAAAAGGTCTACCGTAGTAGCGTATATAGATTTAATAAGTCTAAGACTATATAGAAGATATCTTTATATAGAATTTATATAATCCGAAGCTCGCTATTGATAAGCTCTAGGAACGGTTACTAAAATTAAAATAATCTAGATATTTTATAAATAGTAGGAATAAGGAGAAAAAAGACTACTGAGATAGGCTAAATATCTTTAAGATCTAATATAATTAGTAGAAGACGTAGTTAAAAGGATTCATATTAGTTAATGTAGTGGGAGAACCGGTGATATAATAGCCTATGCGTGGCCTCAGGCATCATTCAATGTCTGCAGTGCATAGTGTATCTTCAAGACACACTTGGAGATAGACAAGTCATCTACCCAATTCATTCATGTTCACCCAATTTCTTCTATTCATGATGCAGCATTAAGGTTATTCCGTACGGCCGCAACAGGGCATCAGCACGGCCTCATCCAGCGTCCTCTACACCAGACAGGCAGTGTGTGTGTGTGTATTGTCCAGTCTGCATCGCCAGACAGCCATCGAGCCGTTCCCATTTCATTAATTAATATATCGCTAGCTACCTTATTCAAGAGTACTATCGGGGTCCTGACAATTACGTTAACCTCTTTCGGAATTTTAGACTATCTATACCCGCCAAAGGATAGTAACTTTAAACCCCTCTATAATAGATAACAATATTCTAATTAAATATATTTTATCTCAAGCACTTTCGCTTATAGGGAAAAATATAATTTAATTTCGCTTAAATAAGCGTATAGTCTGTGCCGGTTTTTGCCTACTAGAATACCTTCCTAAGCCGTTGAGCACGTAGACAGCACCGGAGATGAAGCAAGCGCGTCTAATCAAGGCACTAGTCCGAACTTTCATTGGAGAGATATAATCAAACACACGCTGGCTAGTTCCGAAGCCCGAGCCCCTCCTTGTAACTTAGCTCCGGTTTGGTGCCGCATGATGTCGCTTTATTCTTATTTTGCATTCTTTGTTCTTCATAAAGAATCCTTCACTGACATCGGTCTCATCAGTGTGTACTCTTTCTAGGTCAAATAGCCTAAACAGCGTAGCAAGCGTTTTGAGCATTTCCATCCAGGCGAAACTAGTACCAAAGTTAAGACTCAAAGTCGATCAAAGGAAATTGGGGAACATACTTCCGACCAATGCAAGCGCGGGGCCCAATAGAAAATGGAATAAAATAGTCCATCAACACCGTGGAGTCTTCCTCTAGCCAGCGCCCTAGCCTGAATTCCTCGGGGTCCTGACAGAGCATTAGCTAGTGTAAAAATGAACTGACCTACGCAATTACCGTGAATTTCTTGCCGTTGTAGTGGACATTGATTGTAGGCACGCTGACGAGTGTCTTTTTTCTCGCAAGTTAGCGATACACTTGACTCTTAGGAATCACACATCTAGACATACCCCAGCTGGAATGAATTTTCCGGCGATAATCCGTCCACCTTCAGGAGTGACTCGCTCTAGTCCTGTAGCACTCGTAGGCTTGACTCGCATGGTTTCTCTCAGTACGGCGTTTAGTACCGGAAGCTTTTCCACCGAGGCAAAATCGGCAACCCATTCTGAGAGATCGTCGCTGGGGAAGGTCTCGTCTAATTCTTTCTGCAGGCGCTCTTGTATCTCTGGACGCCTAGAAACTATGTCAACCACGTTTGTCATAGTGGTACTAGTAGTGTCACTACCTCCCACGATGAAGGAGATAGATTCCGCGATGATTTCCTGTTCTGGTAACGGCTCTCCAGTCTCGGGGTCTTTTGCGTTGAAAAGGAAACTGAGGATATCCTTGCGCTTTGTCTGCAGACACTTCCGTTTCAAATACGCGTTGTGTCCTATAATGCCGAGCGACTTTGTTCCACGTAATCCTTGCGACCAAAAGGTATCAAAAGGACAGTACTTCAAAAGAGACCTTATTGGCTTCGGAACGTGACCAAGTGCATTCAATACCTCTCCGCGTGAGTCGATTGCCTGTATCAAATTGAGATAGTCTTCCTCTCGGTCGAGGAAACCAAATGGCGCCCCGAAAGCAAAATCCCCTGGGAACGCCCGAAATAATTAGAAAGAGGAATATAAGCGCAAAACTAGTATTGCGTACCAATTGCATCAAATGCCAGAAAGTTTGCTACATATGTTTAGCTTCTTTGCGCATATCAGAATCATCTTAAGGGGAACAACTCACAGTACTCATTGAAGTCCACAGTCGTGGTTTTGAATGATTCAAGTCGGCGTCGAAAGCAGTTCATCAACTTGCGAATGTTTTCAGCCATATTTGGCTCGAATTCTTTCAGATTTCTGGTGGAAAATGCAGGATTCATGATCTTCTTTTTCCGCTGGTGGATTTGCAAGTCCCTTGTATTGAACAGAACAGGTTCCACCTGGTGAAAGGGTAAATGCTTATTGGTAAGCTGTTTGCCTTTTCGCAATACTCAGAGGCATACTTATCTTCATAGAATGGTCCTTTTGTAAACCCTGATTTGTGGCCATATATTTCTTGCACGGCATCTGGATCGGCTATTGATATATGATTTGGAGCAATGCGAACGAAGTCACCGTGTTTCTTATGTTGGTCAAGAATGGCCTTGGATCGTTTTCCTTTGCGACATTGTGTGACAATCCATATAGAGGAAAATTTGGCGGAAAGTGGACCGGGATAGCTTCTTAATTGACCAAGACAAAACACGTAAAGACAGCTCACGGCCAACTACGCGTAGTTAAGGATTGAAATAGTGAGAAGCCAAACGAAATGCACAATTCAAAGATTGGCTTACCACAGTAGCGACGACGGCAGTAAACCAAATTGGTTCAGACCCTTTACAGAATGTGTAGACTGTCTGCATGTCGGTATAGACTCGGAATGATCGGTATGTTCTCAGAAAAGAAAAATTTTTAATGGCCGGTTTGAAGCAAGACACCTTACCTCCATTAATGTAACAACCACTTGCGCCGTACGTTTAGGAAAAGGGGAAAAGACGGGGATGAGCCGGAAAGGGAACAGAGTCTGGATGCCGGATTCCCTAGATTCTTGAAATTCCCCGCACATTGACTCCACATGCGGGGGACGTAGGCTCATCAGCTTGCGCCACAATTTCCACTTAGTCATCTTGTAACCCGAAACCTGAACTGAAAGATCTACCGTGTAACTGCCGGCTATGTGACGCATGAATGTCTTGTGGCCTGAGAGAGGCCTGAGGGGGAACGTGATCTGGAAGGAGCCGTGGGTCTAACCCGATTCGGGATAGAAGTGGGTTTGTTTCGTAGATACTTGTTTCCCTCTTTCTCTCTTCTTCTTCTTCTCCAGTTTAGTTGCTTCTGTTAATGATACACGAATTCTTCTTCGTCTTGGTCGGTAACAGGCTATATGTTGACGCCATTTGTGCTGAAATTTATCTACTCGATCACATGCCCTAGTTCCATCTTCACCGAACATGATCCTTGTGCCGTGGGGCGGTATGACGAAGGAATATTGTCTAATTGGGTTGAGCAGACTCCCAACAACAATGCAATTTGGTCCCAATATTGCAGGGTGCACACCTGAGATCTAGACTCAATCTGCTTGAACCTTTGAACCTTGAGTTGTATCCAATATTAGCCAGGGACGTGATATATGGTAGTGTGATGCGATGGTCATCAACAGCATCTTTCGATAAACAATCGAAGTGAGGATGGTACTATTAAAAATCTAATTGTAATGACAATTTGCAAAAACAGGGCATTCCAATAGCGCCCATTTCAAAACAGACAACGTGATTACATAGCTTCATATAATATCCAGTTTATGAAGGCGTGCCTCTAGAAGCTCTTCTTCAACCACTGTGTTTATACGTTGCAATAGCCGCGCAGACCTACTAAGCCCCAATCCGTACCTATACCACTCTGCTTAGTACGAAAGTACTAATAATGCTTATTAGGATATAGCGCTAAATAATCTTAAGATTACAGTTCTTCTCAATAATATTCTCTTTAATCTTTATTTAAATTATTAATAAAAAATATATAGAGGCTATACCGACCTCGATTACGGCCTAGCTTAATAGCTTTCCCTACTCTATTATTAGGGTCTTGGCGAATATATTAGTATTAGTATTAATTGTGTCTGCGTAAGCTAACAGAGCGACGCGACGCTCCGCGAAGGTCATCCTAGACTACTTCTTAAAGGCGTCGCGGGTAGATTCCATAGCGCGGTTAAGATCTTTATATATCGCGACGGAGACCGTAGGGTTAGGCTTAGAGTTTATAGGATTAACGCTATAGCGGGTAATAAAAGTTAAGGTAAGTTCATTATTAATAATATTATGAAAGGTCTATTAGCGAATTATTAGTGCTCTATTCGGGTTTCACGTTCTGGTTACGTGACACTTACAGTCAAGTCCAGGGAACCACCCCTGGCAGTGTCGACGGTCATTTTGAATATTTCAGCAAGAATAATAATTCTACAATTCCACACAGAAAGCGTCGGCTGGATTTGTAAGAAAGAGATTCACAGAAGATGGGTAGTTCCACTATTTCTCTAGCGGAGGGAGGCCTATTAGCGCTCAACTGCATTTTATAGTCGAAGCGGCTCATCGTTAAGTCTTCTTTCATTGCCGCGAAGAAGTCCCGAGTCAAGGTACCTAGGACAGAATATCGAATAACCAGATCTAGGAACAGCTAAAGAACCTACCAGAGAAGAGCCGATTTCGATTCTCTAGGTTTCCCTATGATTGGGATCGAATCAAGAGTCTATAATTGGTCGGTGCGGGGTAAATTCGACTCGCGGTAGCGCAGAGAGCTGATCTGCCGTGCAGGGAAATGCGGGGACCCCAGGCCATGATCCGTGGAATTACAAAGCCGATCGTTCCCCGATCGCTCCCCGGGGAATGGAGACGTTCTTCAGTTGAGCAATCGAAAGTTTTGGCCCTTGAACTCAGTAGGAAGTGTGCCGCGAGTTCGATCCGCGTCAAGTTTATTTTTATTCATATTCTCAGCTACGTCTTTTTCCGCTACAAGGCTACCCGAATAGAAGCATCCTTCATTAATTAGTTGGCAGAAGCAATTAGGCCGTAGTGGATGGCATGATTATCCTCGTGTTTAGTCCGCTCGCGTCGCGGTACCAAATTTGCAGAGTCATCCGCACAAAATGCAGCACAGCCTCTTGAGTCATAAACGATTTGGGCTTGAAAGGCCTGTCCGTCCTTGACTGCGGTCGTTCGTACTCCCGGCATAGCCTCGCGTTCTTTTTGACAATGCTACTAATAGCCTCATCGAGCTGATACCCCTTCCTCTTATACAGCGCCTGTATGCCCGCTATTGCAGTGCATAGTGAAGTTAGGGGTTGATTTAAGAATCGCGTATGCTGAAAGCCCTAGCCGTGTATCGACTTACCAAAGTCATACTGGAACACACCACCCTCGCTATCACGAGGCGCACTGACCACAACATCGCCCAGACGAACCTCATGCTTATCACTTAGTACACCGCTGCCGATGCCGACCATAAGGCCTATTCTGACGTTGGGGAAGCTGTTCAGTATCTACTGGCCGCACATAAGCCACGTACTAAATGCCTCTGCTCGCCAAGGTTTCGAGGGAGTTTCAGAAAAGCCATGCTTCGCCAATGGAATCTCGTCGGAACTGGGCGATCACTTAAAATTCAAACCTCCGAGCAGGGTTTCGAAACCATACAATTATTTGAAGACGCTTTCTCTGTTTCTCTTGTGCAGCTTTGGCTTTTTGGGTTCGGACATTTTGTTCATCAACAAAGCCGGGCAAGAAAATCTAGGCAATCTTTTGGATGTTCTACCGAGTGCCTCAATCTGAGCAAGCTGGCCATCTTAGCTGAGCGAGTAGGTTTTCAGTCTCACCAAATCAACGTGCTTCAAACAAGAATCTAGGACAAAACATGGCACAAGGGTACTTTAAGTCTCTATGTCGGGAAGAATTCTACAATTTTGACGAGCGTAGGGTGCAATCAATGTAGAACAGATTTCAAAGCTTTCTATGCAATCTCCCCAGGTATCTGAAGAGGGCATCGGCTCGGGGCAATTCACAACGAATGAAATAGAGTCAGGCCAGCCGCAGATTCAACGCACCGACGCGGGATCAGTACTGTATCGTAGTCTAGACTTTGGCTTTGATTATAAAGGCTGATAGCTTGTCTGTCTCCATTGGTCTCATTCCAGCCACTCCAGTTGCTAGCTGTTCTGGGCTTGTGTTATTCCGTCTGGCTATTGGTTGGGCTCTTCCACGCTTAGGCATTCAGGCTCACACCGCCAGCTTGAAGCAGATGCTACTCCGCTTCGTTCAGGACGCCACAACGAAGGACTAATTCATCTCTGCATCCCAGTGCCCGGGTGCTCAAGCCTCTGGGGAGCGGTCACTCCGGGTAGGATAATATCTCCTTCCCGCCAGTCGCTTCGGAAAAAGGCAATCTTCTTGAATTCCCATCCTGCCTTTTTCGCATCCCTTCAGTGCTTCCCTCAGTCAATATCAAACATCCAGCAGTCTATATCTCAAGCTCTCAGATCATGGACAAAGACACAGGCGACAAGATCCACCCCTCTGCCTCGGCCACGCAAGTGAGCCCCCAAACCACTCCCGCTAAGGAGCCTCTCCTAGGCCACGACTCTGAGATGGACAATCGCAAAGCCCTCCGCGACGCCCGCCGCACCAAGCAGATTCAAATCCTGCGTATTGTGCAGAGCATGCTGTCTGCCTTGCTCTCCCTCGCTATCGCCATCTTCCAGGGCAAGGTGTACTGGACTTACCAGAACACCAAGTCCGATGCCGAGGCGTGGCCATCTAAGCCCAATTTCGTCCCAACGCTCCTAATGTTCAGCGTCGCGCTTGCGGCGCTGGTGTTTGACGGGTCTAGTAAGTGTTTCCGTCTTTCCTTGATCTCACCCCCGAAAGTCGTCCGAGGCTCCGGGAAGGTTAGCTGACATGCCCAACCCCGACAGTGCTAGTTGCGTATATGGCACCCGGCAGCAAATTCTCGAGATGGGCGGTTATGGTTGGCGGCGCCGCTCATTACATCGTGACCTCAAGCAAGACGGTTGGCTACGCCATCTCATCGATTATCTCCATGACGAGTTACAACTATGGCAACGACTCGGGCACACACACGGACTTGTGGAGCTATACTTGCACGGACCATGCAGCCAACATGGACTCCTTGATCCAGGCCTCCTCGAACTGTACTACTCAGGTACGTTTCTTGCAACTCTTGTCGGGTGTCGCTCGAAGGCTCTTGCTGACTGAGGTTTGACTTGTAGTGGGCATCCTGGGGCTTCGCTCTGGGGCAGCTCTTCATCGAGGCCATAGGATGGGTCATATCCGCTCTGGCCTTTCGCCAGGGCGAGAAGAAGTTGAGCGAACAGGCTGTGGATGAGAGATTCACGGCGTACAGCGCAGATGTCAACGGCCAATTGAACGACGTCACGCCGCAGTTTGATTTCAAGTCTTGATGGCCACGATGAGAGGGTTCGCGGCATGGTGCCATTAAGGCATACACGGAAAGGGGATAGCACCTTGGGATAGAGGGGTACTCCATTTTGATTTTCGGTTTGTACCTAAGAGTAAAGGACTCTACCACCTTCCCGCCCACACCACCTTCCCGCCCACCCAAGCACCTACTTCTATATTTATGAAGCAATTAAGTAACCACAACGCCTTTATATTCAATTTAAATCTTCTCTGTATAGAAATTAGCCCTATAGCCAGGCCTTCTATATACGTTATATATATATTAACGTCTGTTAGTCTGACTATCGGTGGTTAAAGCCTTCTGGGTAGGCATTATAGAGACTACCCTATTATCTTCTATATTATTTAATAGACTAATACCTTACTTATAGGCTTTAGGTATAAATATACCTTTAGCGCGTTTTATCTGCTGTTTAGATAGAGATCTTTTCTGTATTTATTTCTTATTCGTAGCGCGTTAATCTCTGACTTCCGTCTCTAATATAAAGTATATATTATCGTTTCGTATACTTTATATATTTAATTAATAATATCTTAAGTAGGTATTAGTAGGCTTTTTAACCGATATTTTAATAGCTTCTTAGCTAATTTAGTATACTTTAAGAGCTAGGTAATATCCTTAATGTCTTAGGGTAATAATTACTTAATTTAGAAGTAGGTCGTTCCTTATTTAGTATAGATAACCGAATTAAAAAATTAAGCTTCGATGGCGCTAGTTGTAGATCTAATAGTACGATACCGGTTACTTTAAAGATATTTATATTAGTTTTAACCTAGAAGGTATCTAGTAGGCAAAAACCGGCACAAAAGATACGCTTATATAAGCGAAACTAGGTTATATTATAATTTTCCCTACAAGTAAAAGTGCTTCAGATATTATATTTTAAATCAGAATATTTTTATCTATTTTATTGAATTTTATAGGGGGGGTTTAAAGTTGCTCTCCTTGAGCGGGTATGGATAGTCCAAAATTCCGAAAGAGGTTAGCGTTTAGTCCGAAATTCCCAAAGGGGATATAGTCCGAAATGCATAGGATCGGCTTGGTCGAAAATGCATAAGGTCAGACCTGTATTTTGGACCAACCCGACCCGGTGTATTTTGGACTAACCCGACCCTATGCATTTTGGACTAACCCAACCTAACCCGACTATATATATTTTGGACTAACCTGACCCTATATATTTCTTATTACGTCTATCTCCCTTTTTTTCGATTACTATTCCTTATATTTTATCTTTATCGCCTTAATATAGAATTTAATAAATAGTAATTAGGAGCCTTATTTTCTCGAACCCTATCTCCGCTATATATCGCGTCGGTAGGGTTCATTTTCAAAAAAAACTGCTAATATCGTGCGGGTGTAGGTTCGGAGAAACACTTTATCCGCTTAGCCTCCGTGGCGAAGCGTAATACCCGTAAGCGTATTAAGGAGAGATAGAAAAAATAATAGGAGAGGGAGAAGACGTGCATATAGGTGACCGCAAGGGAGTGTCTAGGTGACTGCAAGTGTCACATGACTTCGGCCCCCACTTTTCGGAAAAACATAAATCCATCCGCATCTCTTACCTTACTATACCACTTCTTCACCTTCAACTCATTCTATACTAATTTATCTACCCACACAACCTTTATTCTAACTGGTTTACAACTAAATTTCCACTTTCAAAGCCCATATTTAATATGGAAACCCTCAAAGATAATGTAAGTGGTCAAATCCCGATAAGAAATAATAGAAAAGTGATAGAAAAGTGATAGAAACTGACGCTATATAGCCTGCCTACAAATTTTACCTAAGTAAGACTAAGCTTAATATTTCTGGTGCCTAGTGTGATATGACTAAGGATGTGAGTGTTATATTTACTAGTTTATAACTAGTTCTAACTCTTTTCTAGGCAGATAGTCACTGGATTGTCTTCCCCGGAGAGCTTTAGTGTCGCTTCCCGGGCTGCCTCTATCCTATAAGTTAAAATAAGGGACGTTAAAACTAGTTTCTAACTAGTTCCTAGGTTGTCTTCTAAAACACTAATAAATTAAAGTATTATATTACCCAAAAATATATAGGTAGTAATAATTCGATGACTAATAGTTGAGGTGGTCGAACTTCTGCTACCGTAATACTCAAAGCTATTAGTAAGTTATCTAATTCTAAACTAGTTTGATTCTAAACTAATTCTAAACTAATTTATTTTAGATAACTTCTACTAGTCTCTGTATATTCGTTACGAATAATAGTATACTAGTGATATCGAGTATCGTCCTTCTCTTCCCCTTAAGCGTGATAGTAAAGTGAGTCCCTTATAAACTAATATAGAATTAGTTTCTAACACTAAGAATAGGTTAATATAACTAGAATACGCGAGATACTTTATGAAATAGGCAAAACTGGCTTATATAAATCTTATAAAGCTAAGAAGGCCGTTAAATATAAGTTTTAATCCTCTTATCTATCTTTAAACTAGTTTAAAACTAACTTTTTACCTTTAGTTTATTATTATAAGACCTAGCGTTCGGGCTATGATTTCTTTGAATACTTTACTAATATCGAGAAAGAAGATAAAGATAAAGATAGAGAAAATAAGGTATAGGGAACTCCTATAGCTAAGTAGAGGAATTAGTCTTAAACTAGTTCTGGCGGAAGTGAGCTTAGGCTAAGGATATAAGGTTAATAATACTAGTTTAGAACTAGTTCTAAATTAAATTTTTCTTTAATAAAGGTTCGTAAAGCGTAACTAATTCTAAACTAGTTTCCTCCTTTAATCTAGGCTAGCTATACCTTAATTAGCTACCTTTCTAGTTCTATCTTCGTAAGCCTAATTTCTCGTTCTTTGGTCTTAAGCTCTAACTATTAGCGCCTTAGTTATCTTTCTTCTTAAGTATCCTTAATCTCTTAGCGTTTCTGCCGAATTTCGAGCTCTCGAAGGTCGTTTAGATAGTCTTAATTCTGTAAGTTTATCATAGTTATACGCCGGAGACTAAGGCTTACAGATATTCTATAAAATTAGTTAGTAAATAGTTTTAAGCTAGTTTTAAACTAATTTAATATATACCGAGAACGGCTCCGTGTAGTCGCTCTAGAGCTTAATCGCCGTAGCGTAGATAACCTTAACTAACGTCTAATATTAACTATATAGCCTAAAGATAAGGCCTTAAGGAGGATTTAATCGTTAATATTAAACTATATCTGTGCTTCTCTGTGTTAACTGGCCTGGTTTTCCGCTTTTTTTCTTTTTCTAATTTCGCGTTAGAGATTCCTTCTAAAGCGGGCTTCGATATTATTAGCTTAATAGCGGTAATAAATACTAAACTTCTCTTGAGTCTTAAGTTAGTCTAAATCCTATCCCATGGGGGTTGGTGGGATGCATTGCATACCAGTTAGGGTTTCCGCTTTACTATGGGAGAAAAATGGCGCTAGTGAGTGCATACCAGTTGGACTTCTTGAGTGCATCCCAGTTGAAAATATCGGTCGGATAATCCTCAAAACTTCAAAAGTTCTAAACTAGCGATCGCTTTATACCCGGTTTCAATTTGAAGATCGTACGATTAAAAGAAGAGGTAGTTACAGGGATTAGAAATTTGGACCTTTTTTTTAATGGGGTGCGCTTTGGCCACTCGTACGATACTTAGTCACCCTTAGGCTAGGAGTTTATATAAGCTTTCTGTAACCCTAAAACCCTACTACTTTCTTAAAGAAGGCCTTCTAGTAGTTATACTTAGTATACTAATAAGAATAATAGATAATAGAACGGGGAAGTCACCTTATTGCAGTCGATAATAGGCTCTATAGACTCGGACAATAGGATGGAGGCAGTCACCTCATTGCAGTCGACAATAGGCTCAATAGACTCGTACAATAGGACGGAGGCAGTCACCTCATTACTGTCGTACAATGGGACGGAGGCAGTCATCTCATTGTCATCGACAATGGGCTCAATGGTCTCGTACAATGGGACTGAGGCAGTCACCTCAATGTGGTCAATGGTCTTGGACAATGAGGCTCAGGCAGTCACCTCAATGTGGTCAATGGTCTTGGACAATTGGTGTTGGACAATGAGGCTCAGGCAGTCACCTGAATGTGGTCAATGGTCTTGGACAATTGGTGTTGGACAATAAGGCTCAGGCAGTCACCTGAATGTGGTCAATAGTCTTGGACAATGGGGCTCAGGCAGTCACCTCAATACAAACGCACAATGTGCTCAATAGTCATGGACAATGGGGCTCAGGCAGTCACCTTAATGTGCTCAATGGTCTTGGACAATTGGTCTTGGATAATGTGGCTCAGGCAGTCACCTCAATACAAACGCACAATGTGCTCAATAGTCTTGGACAATAGGTCTTGGACAATTGGTGTTGGACAATGAGGCTCAGGCAGTCACCTCAATGTGGTCAATGGTCTTGGACAATGAGGCTCAGGCAGTCACCTGAATGTGGTCAATGGTCTTGGACAATTGGTGTTGGACAATGAGGCTCAGGCAGTCACCTGAATGTGGTCAATGGGGTTGGACAATGAGGCTCAGGCAGTCACTTGAATGTGGTCAATGGTCTTGGACAATTGGTGTTGGACAATGAGGCTCAGGCAGTCACCTGAATGTGGTCAATGGGGTTGGACAATGAGGCTCAGGCAGTCACTTGAATGTGGTCAATGGTCTTGGACAATTGGTGTTGGACAATGAGGCTCAGGCAGTCACCTGAATGTGGTCAATGGTCTTAGACAATAAGGCTCAGGCAGTCACCTCAATACAAACGCACAATGTGCTCAATAGTCTTGGACAATAGGTCTTGGACAATTGGTGTTGGACAATGAGGCTCAGGCAGTCACCTGAATGTGGTCAATGGTCTTGGACAATGAGGCTCAGGCAGTCACCTTAATATAAACGCACAATGTGCTCAATAGTCTTGGACAATGGTCTTGGACAATTGGTGTTGGACAATGAGGCTCAGGCAGTCACCTGAATGTGGTCAATGGTGTTGGATAATGAGGCTCAGGCAGTCACCTGAATGTGGTCAATGGTCTTGGACAATAGGTCTTGGACAATTGGTGTTGGACAATGAGGCTTAGGCAGTCACCTCAATGTGGTCAATGGTCTTGGACAATGAGGCTCAGGTAGTCACCTGAATGTGGTCAATGGTCTTGGACAATTGGTGTTGGATAATGAGGCTCAGGCAGTCACCTGAATGTGGTCAATGGTCTTGGACAATAGGGCTCAGGCAGTCACCTCAATACAAACGCACAATGTGCTCAATGGTCTTGGACAATTGGTCTTGGACAATGTGGCTCAGGCAAACACCTCAATACAAACGCACAATGTGCTTAATAGACTGGGACAATAGACGTACTTCGGATCAATGTACAATCCTGAATATAAAATCTTCGAACTTACCTTCCTTCATATCTCTCTTCCCCGACCACTTTTGCACTCTGATAATTACTATTTTTATTTGCACTTTTTTTTCCTGAAATCCCTGATTGCCTCGCCCTGTGGAGGCCCCCCCCTTATTCTCTCTTCCCTTAACGTACAATTACGTTAAGATGCGCTCCTTATACGAACCCCAATAATCATATAAAGTCAAACTAATTCTGTTCCAGTTCCTCTTCTGTCTCTCGCCGTGGTCGAGGCCGCGGTGGCCGTGGTGGTGGTGATCGTGGTGGTGGTGGTGGTGGTGGTAATCGTGGTTCGTTGTACGTATCCTTCTGATCCTTAGACAATATCCTTAATACTGACTGTTATACAGCGGAGATCGGGAGCCTTAGGCTCCCCGCGCCGGCGAAGGTATCCCGAACTTTGGTCCTAGGGAGTGGAGGAGGTAAGTCATAACTTAATCTCCGCACTCTTAGCGATCAATAGCTAATGTACGATGTCTACTAGCTGGCCCTTCCCCTATACCGACGAAGACGGATACCCTCGCCTCCCTCGTACATACGCTAAAGGCATTTAGTCTCTTATTTAGTACACGGAACGACTAGGCGGTGACCAGGGGCAGCTATAACTACCAGTGGGTGGTGATAAGCTTGCCCGGATATGCATAACTCCGGCGCAGCTTACGATCCTTTGGGAACGCGGATGCCCTATCTAGTATATACGAGGCAACATTAATAGGTAGCAAATCGTCTCCTAGCGACCCTCGTATATTAATGCGCTGCTAATCTAGTCCCGTAGCAATCAACTTATTTAGCCCTGCGATACCTACGTGGACCGGTGCAAACCCTTTCCGCAGTGTATCCGTCTCTCGGGTCAGTTTAGCGGCTCTTATGGTAACTGTAAGTGGCGTGATCACGCCTCTCGGTGCTCTATATAAGATAGAGAGCCCCGCAATACCACACGGCTATGGCCACGTAACCCGCCTCGTCCTTTGCCTGCGCCGGAATCTGTTACCCTATCGGACGACCGGAGAGTTATCTAGGCGGCCCCACGGCCGTCCCGTCGGGGTTATTAGCGTCCGCGTGTGGACAGCGATATCGAAGAGATCTCTGTAGTAGATCTGACCTTAGATAAGGACTGCGGTCGTGAGAACGCGCTACGCCAACTTCCTTAGGGTGTGTACTAGATATATAAGGATAAGGCCTAAGGATTATATAATACTAGTGACTAGGGAATACAGATAGCCTTTTTAGCTAGTAAGAGAAATAGTCACAATACTATATAAATTTTCTTTTACTTCACTTTCTTTATAAGTAAATAGAATTACTAGAAATATTATTAGAATATAAATATTTATTAGTATAGTCTTAATATTTAGAAGTCTTAGGGGTTTTAATTCTTTTATTATATACTTAATATATAATTAAAATATCTTATATAGGTCGTTAATATAAAAATAAACTTATATAAGCTAAAATTCTAGGTCTTACTTAGCTAGGTACCCCTTAGCGAATTCCTACTTACCTTTTCCCCTTTTATTAATAGACGAATTGCTCTTATTCGTACAAACCTTATAGCGATATCTATATTAAGGATCCGCGAAACCTTGTTATATAATGGCTCCCCCTACCGCTACGGAGTTATTTCTCCGAATCCCTAAGTATTCAGTGATTATATATTGCTAGTGTCAGTACGCCGTCCGTCCCACTTAGGTCGTCTTTTATCTAACCTATACGCCTTATCGTACGACTCTCGCCGATACCCGGTAGGTATAAGCGGCTATTAGGGAGTGGGACAAGGTTAAGGAGAATATTAATTAGTTATACTTTCCTAAGTGGGTCGACCAGCCTATCGAAGGCCTCGCGATATATACCGATAGTATCTTATATACCCGAGTCTAAGGCTATGACTATATTTGCCGCAGTAAAGAGAGTATTCGAAAGTATTGGCGTACAAAGTATTATTAGTCGCCGTATAGTTACTATTAAGGCCACTAGCAGTCCCGGCTTTATGACCTTACCTAGGTCGCGATTCACGACGCTACCTAAGCGGTATGCTGCTAGCGGTTCTTTACCACGAAGTTTGGTTCCCACTATATCCACGTGCGCCGGCCCGGCCCGTCGTACGAGCCTATAGAGCCTCCGCCGTACCCTACCGTAGTCTAAGGGTTAGTAAACTAGCTCGAACAGTGTTTTACTGTGTCCTAGGCTAGCGACGAGACCGTCGTACAAGCCGGCGAGCTAGATAAGGCTAACCCGTGGTTACGGCGGACGCAGTGGGCCCAGTATTTGCAAGGGATCCCCGTACGACTATTATCCGAGGCTATCGCCACACCCGATCCGGATACCGAGGGCCCCGAGGGTATCGTATATGCCATTTAGGACGCTATAGATCGGGTCGCCCGCGTGAGCCAGCGTGTCACCAAGCAATACGGCCATTTAATCCGGATCGAGGCCGCGCGGACTAAGAAGGACCAGAGCCCGCACCAACCATTACAGGCGTATATAGATATAGATAATATTATACGACACGTGGAGCTATAGCAGCGGGTGTTAATGTTTTTTGCTCGTACGCAGCAGCCGCATAAATGGCGTAGCCCCCGATACCGGTTTATATCGCGGTAGCAACGCGCGTGGCAGGCATTATAGCGTTATACCCAGTCCACGGCCCAGGGCGCCGACCCGGCCACCCGTGGTCGTACGAACGATGATCCCGAGCTATACCAGTTCACGCCCATTGAATAAGCATACATCGACTTTTGCATCGAGTTATTGAATCAGCGCGTGGGCGCCGAGGAGTACGAGTATGCGTTAGTATGTGCATTAGCCGTATTAGGGCGCAGCCGGGACGGTTAGCAGACGCCCGAGTCGTACCCCCCTATTTTGTCCAAGATAATCAAGATTGCGCGGTTATGGTATTATATAAGGCATTCTAGTAGGCAAAAACCGGCACAAACGATAGGCTTATATAAGCGAAACTAGGTTATATTATATTTTTCCCTATAAGTAAAAGTGCTTCAGATATTATATATTAAATCAGAATATTTTTATCTATTTTATTGAATTTTATAGGGGGGTTTAAAGTTGCTCTCCTTGAGCGGGTATGGATGGTCCAAAATTCCGAAAGAGGTTAGCGTTTGGTCCGAAATTCCTAAAGGGGATATGGTCCGAAATGCATAGGATCGGCTTGGTCGAAAATGCACAAGGTTAGACCTATATTTTGGACTAACCCGACCCTATGCATTTCGGACTAACCCAACCTTATGCATTTTGGACCAACCCGACCTAACCCGACTATATGTATTTTGGACTAACCCGACCCTATATATTTCTTATTACGCCTATCTCCCTTTTTTTCGATTACTATTCCTTATATTTTATCTTTATCGCCTTAATATAGAATTTGATAAATAGCAATTAGGAGCCTTATTTTCTCGAACCCTATCTCCGCTATATATCGCGTTAGTAGGGTTCATTTTCAAAAAAAACTGCTAGTATCGTGCGGGTACAGGTTCGGAGAAACACTTTGTCCGCCTGGCCTCCGCGGCGAAGCGTAACACCCGTAAGCGCATTAAGGAGAGATAGAAGAAATAATAGGAGAGGGAGAAGATAGGCCGGCCGACGAAGTGCCTTATTAAGGCGCCGACGCGGAAGGTCTTAGAGCTATATAAGGGGCTATCGAAGCTATACGTATCTATCCTTATCCAAATAAGGTCGATACGCATTGGACTAGGTCACTTCTTATACGAAATTAAAGAAAGGAATCAGACCGCTATTATTGCGAGTAAGGATCTCAAACGCCGAGATATATCTTACTCTAATACCCGCTATATAGTGATCTGCGAAGAATTATACTTAATAAGGTCGCTCGCACCGACCTTAGCAACACTATAAATTACGATGCTATTATGTCCTACCCGCGCGCGGCCCGCTACGCTATTACGATAATATATTAAATAGGTCTCTTAGGACAATTCCGATATATCGAGCCAGAACCAGACGACGGCCATAAATAAATTAGCCTTATAGCTATAGGAAGGTTATAAAGACGCTACGTATACACTACCGAACAATAAGACCGGGCCACCGAGAATAGTTAGGCCACTAAAATAATTATTAATTCACTACGCACCGTAATTAACTGAGAACCGAAGCACTTAGTATTCTTCTTTATTAGGGGAATAGAGAACTAACACTAAAGAGGCGGGAGTATATAGCGGGGATAAGGGGACACAGAAGAAGTGAAAGACTATAGGTATTATCTTTTGGGTTTGACTTTTATATAGGCTCGATTATATATAGGATATAGATATTCTGACACTCTTTTCTGTGCCGGCCTCTTATAGAGGCCGGTTTTCCTTTATATATACTATTTACTATAAGCCGCGCGTCTGGAGTTACGGATAATAAGTTCTGCTTCGGATTTGGACGAAGCGCCTATATAGCCTTAACGACGCTAGTTAGGCTCGATCAGGTTAATAGAATTTGAATTAAATTGAATTAAAGTCATTAGTATCGTAATCTAAGGCTATTATAAAGTCTGCGGTAGATATAAGTGTAAGCGGCTTTAGAGGGGATAGGGTCGACTTAGTCGAGTTAGTCGGAAATACATAAGGTCGAACTTAGTCGAAACTATATAGGATTAACTTAGTCGAAAATATATAGGATCGACTTAGTCGGAAATATATAGGATTAGCTTAGTCGGAAATATATAGGGTCGACTTGGTCGGAAATATATAAGGTTAGGTCTGCATTTTGGACTAACCTGACCCTATATATTTTCGACTAACCCGACCCTGTGCATTTTTGACTAAGGCTACCCTCTGTATTTGCGACCAAGGCTACCCTCTGTATTTTAAACTATACTCAGCTTCTATGTTTTCCCTACGCACTATAGGTATCCTAGTAAATACACGATATTATTTACGTACTACCTTATTTAATAATTTCTTTGAACTCCCTATTATCTATAGATTTAGTGTGTGGTAAAGGGTATAAGTTCACGACTCTCTTAGGCCCACTCTTAAGATATATCTTCTCTAGTGACTTATATATATTACCCCTTATATTTACTTTATTAACTACTAACGCTATCTTCAATAAACGTCTGCATATTCATAATATATATAATATATAATCTATATAAAGTAGGCTATTTACTGATACCTATCAAAAATATATAAGGTTTGATAGGTGTCAGTAAATATAGCCTTAGTGGTTTATAACGGCCATTAATAGCCTTAAAGGGGGTGAGGGAATACTGATAGCTATCGAACCTTATTAACCTAATACGTTTAATGGCCGTTAGCAAATAGCAAAGGCCACCTATTACTTCTAGAGACTATTATATTAAATATTATCTTATTAGTATCTACTTTGAGATAAACTAAGCTCCCGCACTTCCTTCTTTCTCTCCCTTACTATCTCTCGCTATCGCCTTACCTCGCTAAACTTCTCTCTAGAGAAATACTCTAAATCTAGCTCTACTAAGGTTTTCTCGATCTATTAAGAGAATTCCTCCTATGCGACCGCCCGTTTCTCCGCGATATAATTATAATCCTCTCGACCTTCGAAGACCCTCCCCTCGAGGACTAGCTTCTTCTTATTCCGTAAATCCTTTATCTAGGTATCGTACTTCTATATTCGATTAAGCGCCTTTTAAGTATAAACCCCGCGCTCCTAATATCGCTAGGCCTGCTAACGGGCCTATCGCTATTTATTATAGAGCGAGTTATGGTCAGTAAGCTCCTTAAGCTCCTTAAGCTCCTTATCTTTAATCACTAAGCGCTGTAAGCCGTCTGTCAATAACGCGTCGTATAACGCACGATCTTCGGTAGCTAGCTTTCGCCTAAGCGAGTCGCTATAGTTAGTAATAAGCTATAGTTACTTAATAAGATTCTCGGGGCTCTACGTAGCTCGCTAGGTAAGCTACCGAAATATATAACGAGGAGAGAAGTTCGCGTAGATCCACTAAGAAATCTCCCTATCCTCGTTAAGCGCTAGGATTAGCGGCCTATCGTCCTTAGCACTATCTTAGATATCTTCTAATACCCACTCTGAGATTAAGCCAGTTAGCAGCGATAGTAGGATTAGCTTAACGCGATACCTAGGTAGGAGGGTTATAGTAAACGCCGCTTCGCTCCTCTCCTACCCTACCCGAGGTAGCGTAGGGAGGTCTGCCTATATCTAACGGTACTTAACCTACCTACTAATAGTATACCCTATAAGATCCTAGCCTAGGTACTAGAGAAGCGTAAGATAGGACGTATACCAGAGGGGGAGCCGATTCCCTATACCCTTAGGCCAGAAGTCGCGTTCGGTCGGATTAGGGAGCACCTAATACGTACGTACAAAGGTTATATAGACTAACTCGCGCTACTCCTGCGCTACCTAGTAGGAGTAGGTCGCGACGATCGCATTAAAGCTACGGCGGAAGAGTTCCCGATATAGCTTCGTATTTTAGTGCGTCCGTTAGATTAGCTCCCCCTATCGACTATCGCTATCCTAACCCTAAAGTACCGCGAATATTATATCGATATACCGGATATAGGTCCCCTTAGGCCTAAGTGGGTATATATATCTCTCGAGCTATCCGTCTAATAATATATCGCGAAAGGTTTATATCGTGAGGGGTCGCTAGCCTTTAAGCGCCTTAGCGGTATAAGGCCTACGAAGGCGTTAGACTACCGATAGGCGTTAGAATACTTCCTAACAGAAGGTAGTAAGGCAGAGATTAGCTAACAGATCGAGGATTTTACGAGACCTTATACGGTACCTACGATCCGTCTCGAGCTAGCGGAATATATTATAGAGAAAGACTTAGTCGTCTAAGGTATGCCGTACCGACTAATACCGTAAGTAATAGGCTCTAAGGAGGGATAGGAGACGGATAGCTAGCCTAAGCTAGTACGGTTCTTAGAAGAGTATTAATTCCTAGTTAAACTTATCTAAGAACTAGGTATAGCTATACCGCTCTATTATCTTACCCTATCTAAGACCTTTAATCCTCTTACTGACCTCCTCGCCCTTAGCGGGAGGCTACTCTCGCTCGCTAATCTATAACTCCCGGTAGTACGAGGGGGAGGCGCCTTAGCCGCTAAATCCGTAGTATAAGGCGTGGATTATCACTATCGCCACCCGCGAATACTCCTAGTAAAGATACCGGGCGGGGCAGAGACTATAGACGAGTTCGATAGCTAGGTAAAGGCAGTTCAAATTTTACCGAAGCTAAGTAAGCGCGTTATCGGTGCGGTAGTAATAGAATAACTATAGCGTTCGAGGTTAGATATAGTGCTTATCCTCCTCCCGTGCCGCTATCTTATTATCTAAGGCCTTAAGTAACTCCGCTATAACTTAGTATTCCTCTCGGGCGCTATAGGAGT